AGAGAGCGGGGCGAGGGAGGGATGGCGCGCACTCGTGGAGGTGAGAGAGCGGGGCGACGGACAGGCGGGCGAGGGAGGGATGGTGCGCACTCGTGGAGGTGAGAGAGCGGGGCGACGGACGGGCGGGCGAGGGAGGGATGGTGCGCACTCGTGGAGGTGAGAGAGCGGGGCGACGGGCGGGTGAGGGAGGAAGGGATGGCACGCACTCGTGGAGGGGAGAGAGCGGGGCGAGGGAGGGATGGCGCGCACTCGTGGAGGTGAGAGAGCGGGGCGACGGGCGGGCGGGCGAGGGAGGGATGGCACGCACTCGTGGAGGTGAGAGAGCGGGGCGACGGACGGGCGGGCGAGGGAGGGATGGTGCGCACTCGTGGAGGTGAGAGAGCGGGGCGACGGGCAGATGAGGGAGCATTCGTGACGGTGAATCACGGTTGACGTTGGCAGCGTTCTTGCAACTTCTCGCCCGCCTTCCTTTTCAACGCGATGGCCCCTCCGGTGCAACGATGAGAGTGATCTCCGCAGATCGATCCGCGAAAACCGCGATTCCGCAAATATTCCGCAAATGCTTCGCGAGTACACCGTGCCCAACATGCCCCCGATCTTTTCCGCGCAAATACGATACGTCGTTCGTCATGACTGTCCCGATCGTCGGACCGCCGATTTGTTCAAATGACGTCGCGGTGAAATGGCGATTCTGGCCAGGTGATCGTCGCATGCTATCGTTACGTTTCAGGGCCGCGCGGCCGCTACCGGCACTGCGGCTCAGCGACCGCATGTGGGAGAGACGCTGGCTGCGGTTTCTGATTCGACCTTTTCTGAAGTTTACGATCCGGCGGCTGGGCATGGATAGCAGCGACGAGCACATGATGGTGTGCGCTCGGACGGTCGTCAACACTCCATTCGGCCAGGTTCGCAAAAAAACCTTCATCGTGCAGGGTCGACCTATCTACGTGGCATGATTGACTCGCAGCTTTGCCAAGCTGCATTGTAGTGTGGTGTGGTATGGTGCGGTGCCGTGCGGTGCAGTGTGGTGCGGTGCGGTGCGGCGAGCAGTGCAGTGCAGTCTATTGCAGTGAAGAGTAGTGTAATGTGATGCTTTTGATTGTAGTGTTGTGCGGTGCAGTGCAGTGTGGGTGCAGTGCAGTGCAATGTGGTTGAGCGCAGTGTAGTGTAGTGCAGTCTATCGCAGTGTAGTGTAGTGTAGTGTAGTGTTATGTAGCGCAGTGTAGTGTAGTGCAGTCTATCGCAGTGTAGTGTAGTGCAGTCTATCGCAGTGTAGTGTAGTGCAGTCTATCGCAGTGTAGTGTAGTGCAGTCTATCGCAGTGTAGTGTAGTGCAGTCTATCGCAGTGTAGAGTAGTGCAGTCTATCGCAGTGTAGTGTAGTGCAGTCTATCACAGTGTAGTGTTGTGCAGTCTATTGCAGTGTAGAGTAGTGCAGTCTATTGCAGTGTAGTGTAGTGTAGTGCAGTCTATCGCAGTGTAGTGTTGTGCAGTGTATCACAGTGTAGTATAGTGCAGTCTATCGCAGTGTAGTGTAGTGCAGTCTATCGCAGTGTAGAGTAGTGCAGTCTATCGCAGTGTAGAGTAGTGCAGTCTATCGCAGTGTAGTTTAGTGCAGTCTATCACAGTGTAGTGTAGTGCAGTCTATCGCAGTGTAGTGTAGTGCAGTCTATCGCAGTGTAGTGTAGTGCAGTCTATCGCAGTGTAGTG